CACTTCCATGACTACTAGAAGCGAGAGACGGCCAGAAGGTCCTCCAGCACCATAGAGATCCCTCAGCCTGCGGAGCAGAGCAAAGCAGATCAGAAGAGCAGAGTAGAGCGAAGGAAGGAAGGAAGGAAGGAAGGAAAAAGAACGCTGCTTATATATCACCCTACAGTGCTTAAAGCACTCTCTGGGAGGCTTATAGTTTAATTATGCAGGCTACACATTCCACCACCCCAACAAGCTTGATACTACTGTACTCAATTTACTGACTTCAGAAGGATGGAAAGCTTAGTGAACCTTGAGCTGCCTACCTAGGGTTGAACCTGGGTCGTGAGCAGAGTTTTTGGCTGCAGTACTCCAGTTTAACACTGCGCCATGATGAGGCTCCTTCTATTTCTCTTCCCATTGCTATAGGAAGAAATAGAAAAGGAGACACTCCCATTGCCTAAAATGGTGCTGATGGGAGCTATGATCAGTTCTGTGGAGGCAGAGGTGCCATGGGGTGTTCAAATAACGATTCAGGGACTGCATGTAACCCAGGGGTCATATGTACAGATGGAGGGAAATAAAAAAATGAATCCCAATATTTGGTTGTTTTTTTTTTAAATCAGTGATTTGTTAAATATTTGTCCCTTCGTATTTGTGAGTTCCAGAGACACTGACAAATACAAAGGGATGAATATTTGTCCATTTTTATTCATCCCCCATACTAAGAGAGGGAAGGCTAGCTTTCCCTCTCTTCCTATGGCCTTCCCATTCTGCCTATGGGCTCACTGATCAGCTGGCCAATAGGCAGCCAGCCAGCCAGCCCCACAGACACCCACCCCCCACAGCCCATCCCCCACCCTTTTCCCTCCCTCCCTTAGTTGTTGCCACTATCCTCCACCACCCAACACAGCCATCACCCATTGCCGCCCGCTGCCACTGCTATCCATCGCTGCCCACTGCGGTGGCCTCTGCAACCATGGCCTGCAATAATAGGGACACTGGCTGCCCATTGCAAAGATGGCGGCTGCAGCTTCTTTTAGGGCAGGGGATCTGCAGTCGCCATCTTTGCAAAGGGCATCCTGGATTCCCTTAGCTGGGCGGTGGCGGATGGTGGCAGCAGCTAAGGTAGGGGGTAAGGCGGTGGGGAATAGGCTGTGGGGGTGATGAGATCAGGGTTTTTTAAGACAACCCCAAATAACTAATGAATTGATTCATGATTTGTCAATTTATGGGGAGGAACTTCGTGCTTCGTCAACTTTGACAGATCACGAACCAGAGTGAATCGCTAAAATGGCGATTGATCCCCACCTCTAGTCATATGTTGCCTACCCTTGCAAGTACAATGGCGAGAAGTTAAGAAATAAAGAGTAAATGGCTCTAAAAGGCTTCATTGAAAGCTAATTGTTTACTTACTCTATTTCCTTGTGTTCCTCTGTTTCCTTGCAATGCAATTCTCACTGGCCCCAAAAGAGAAAAGAAGTAACTGCCACCTCCATTTTCTATATATCAGTTCCCTGCTTCCCTGCACAATACAATACTGTATTGTGCCAAAACCTGTTTCATGAGTTGGGACAACCTGTTGGGTTGTACCTGGTGCCTAGAGCTGGGTAGAACGCTTTGACTGGTATGCATGAAAACCCAGGTAGATCTACACAAATGAAAAGAAGATGAAACAAGCCCTTCACTAAATCCAAGATGGCAGCTATTTATCTAAGAAGGCCGAACTCCACCAAGCTGAAAGCTAGAATGTGGTAGAACCATGTATCAGATCACATGTGAAGGCAAATGCTGCATGCTTCTTCTTCTTCTTACAATGTTATCCCTCCAGGATAACAAACTCTGTTTCTAGAAGGAGTGCTTTCTCAAGGGAGTAAAAAAGGTATAACTGTGAACACATGCTAAAAGACAAAAGGAGTGCTTTCTCAAGAGAGTAAAAAAAAGTATAACTGTGAACACATGCTAAAAGACAAAACACAGGTATGATCTGGATTACCTCTGGAATGTAAACAACAGTTTCCTTTCCATGTCTGATTCTAGAATCAGCAGGAAGCCTCAGCCATTATTTATTATTTATTTATTTTTACATCAGAATCACAAAAAAGCCATGGCTTTATCTGTGATTCTCATGTAAATTGGAGTAGGGAGGTACAAAAAGTAAGCTGCAAATACCATAAAATATAATAATAATAAGGGTTCCCTTTGATATAGACAGGTACAATGAGATATTGGGCTGGGCTGTTTGAGGTCCAGGGGAATTCCTGGATTGTAACAAGTCTGTGATTGTAACAAGAAATTATTTCAAGCCAGGCTTTTACCATTGGATTACTCTGCCCTGTGGCAGAATTTAGCAAGGGCTTGGTAGGCTGTCACCCTCCATTCCAAGCCCTTTCTTTTTCCACCTCTTCTCCTATCTATTTTTATTCACCATTAAGGAAAGTAAGTTGGAATAGCTGCAAAGTGTCTCTTAAATGCCAACATGATAAAACTCTCATTTTAAACCTGCCCAAGGACAGAAATAAATGATTAAAGGTTGTAAAACTTTCTGGATGCAGCTGGTGTGGCACCTCTCTTTTAAAGCAAATATACAAAAAAGGCGGTTCTCAGGAACAGCCTCTGAGAGGGAAACTAACTTAACTAACTCAACTAATTTAGAAGGGGTTCTTCCTCAAGGGTTGAAAGTAAAGATGGGCATGAATTAAAAAAGAATCACCAAATTCATTCAAAAATTGCTAATTCATCAATTCGTATTCATATGAATCAGTGCCTCAATGAATAAAGGTAAAGGTTCCCCTTGACAATTTTTGTCCAGTCGTGTTTGCCTCTAGGGGGCGGTGCTCATCCCAATTTCCAAGCCATAGACTCAGCATCTTGTCCGAAGACAATCTTCCACGGTCACATGGCCAGTGCGACTTAGACCACCGAGGTGGTCCCTATTAATCTACTTGCATGTGCATGCTTTCGAACTGCTAGGTTGGCGGGAGGTAGGACAAGCAATGGGAGCGCACTCCGTCGCGTGGATTCGATCTTACGACTGCTGGTCTTCTGACCCTGCAGCACAGGCTTCTGCAGTTTAGCCCGCAGCACCACCACGTCCCTCAATGAATACAAATCAATTAATTTTTAACAATTTTGATTTGTTGATTCCTCAAGCCAGCTGCTAAAAAGCAGTTTCCTGGGGGTAATCCACTTTGTGGGTGTTTATCTCAGATGTCTGAAACCCAATATTCACTAAATGTGGAGGAATTGTAGAGAGAGTCAGAAGGAGATTCCCTGTGATTTTGGTTTTTCTAGATTCCTGGAGGGAATTTCACTGGGAATCCCCTTTGTGGGTGTACAATGCGGGCATCTGAAACGCAATCTTCACCAAACCCGTAGGGCTTGTAGAGACCTAACATTGTAGAGGAGAGGCAGAGGAAGCTTTCCTGTGAATTTGGTGTCTCTAGGTGCTTGGTGGGGGCTGTTTTATAGGGGTTTAAAGGAAAAAATGAATCAACAAATTGATTCATCAATTCATCGACAAAAATTTATAAATGTTATTTGTCATTCATCAACCTTGACGACTCACAAATCAAAGCAAATCATCATTTTTTCTGATTCTTTCTCTGATTCAGTGGATTTTGTGCTTCAGCAGGGGGATGGGCTCTGTGACCCTTGAGATACTCTCCAGCTCTATAATTCTGTGATGTTATGTCTGCATGGTATGAGGTAAAATTAGTGTGGAGCCTGCAGTTTTGGAAGCGGCAGGTGAGAGAGACTCGTGGCGCTTCCAAACAGATGGCTTTTAACACTACCAGTCAAAATGCATTATCCAGCTATTCTGATTTTCCCTGGAGCATTAGAGGTTGAAAATAACAGCTTGTAGAATGAGTGGAGCATGGATATTAACATAATCAAATTTGCTTCTGCAAGTTTTCTTGTATTTTTTTTAAATATAGTCCTACACCTTAAGTGGACCTGGGTTTAAATCAGACTAAAAAGGCACATGTAAAATCTCAGGTAGCTACACAATGTGTACTGATATCACTTTTCAGGAACTCAGAGAGAGTAGCCCATGAGGTAGTTGGTGATGTGCCAGTTGTCATTTCCTCACCGCTTGCCACTTTGATGGTTTGCAACAGGGGTGAACTTGTAGCCCTGCCCCCAAGGTCATCAGTCCCCAATGGCTATTTTGGTTGGAGCAGACAGGAGCTAGAATTCAGCATAATGTGCCCACAATGTTCTTTTAGGTGTACTACACCTGATATCCTCAATTTGCAACCGGCAAATATAATGCCTGGATATTTGTTTATTTGTAGGTCCTCTTTCTTCCAGTGATGGTACCCAAGGCAGTTCACAATGTTAAATCAAGTCACACGAACAATACAATAAATTACAAGGTTTTTTTTAAAATGAACTAAACATACAATAAGAACTAAAAAGCAGTTAATTAATGATACAATAAGAATTTAAAAATCATTTAGAAACCTTAAAAACATGTTTAGGGAAAAAAAACCGCAGTGTCCACTGACTCCGCCGTAGTTATTAAAAGCCTGCCTGAAGATGATGTTTAACTGTCAGTGAAAAGGTAAAAGGGAGGGGGGGCAACCTAACCTCCAGAGGGATCACATTCCACAGTCCCGGGGCGCTCAGAGTGAGGCACTATGGGGGCCAGTGGCAAATAAAATAAAATAAAATACATGCACCGGTGAATTTTTGGCCATACCCCATCATGTTTGAGGCCTAGGACTCCAAGGTTGAGGGGTGCCAAAAAAGAAAAGAAATGCCCATTTCCTTGGGCAGCAGAGAATGGGTGCGGGGGCACCTCCATTACTCTGGTCTCCTGAGGCAACTGCCTCAGTTAGGCTAATAGCAGGCCTGGGCCTGGTTCAAATTAACCCTCAACACATCAGTCCCTACCTTCAGGACTATAACCTATTAATTCGGAAACAAACTTTTCCCAATTTTGGTTATTGTATAAGCAAAGACCTCAGTGGAGGAATCATTATTTGTAAAGACAAACCTTTGCCTTCTAGTGCCATTGTTTGTGGAACTGTGCGAGGAGTTCCCTGTGTACGTGATGTCCAAGATCAAAATGCTTGTGGCTTAAAGATGCCAGGACCATAGGAGCTGGAGGAGTAAGATGAGCTTGCGGGCAACACTGAAGCTTTAAGATCCTACTGCTATACAGAAGCCACAGAACTATAATAACAAAAGTAGATAAATAAATAGGACCCAGAATTCCAGGGGTGTATATTTTGCAGCTAATCATCTTTACCTCATGCCTCCACCCTGCAACCTGCCCACAGGAGGTTGCTTTTCTCAAATGTCTATTTTGGAATATGCAACTAACAAGTTGACCAGCCCACAAACCCACCTGTCCTTGAAGGACACAAAGGAAGCCTTCTCTACAGGGCGAGGCCCAGGCAGTTTGTAAATTACAGCTCAGGAGGCCAAGTGGACGGTGAGTTGTTAACATTTGTTGGGACACAGGATGAAGGAGACAAATTACCCTACCACACAAGTGTTGGAACCTTGGACATTGTCTCCAGAGCTCAGACTGTGACAGTGAAGGAAATCGGTGAGGTTTCCTTGATGCTAAGAGAAGATATTTCACACCTTCCCTTGTTTTCAGTCAAAATAATCACTGTATGCAAAAGAAAATGTGCTGAAAACTTGAAAAAAACTGTGTATTTGTGCTTTTACTGGCATGATCTTCCAGATGCATTAGCTGAAGAAACAGAAGCTTATAGTTCTACTTTGAAGGGCAAAGATGCCCAACTGTTCCATTCATGATAAGGAACCAACATGAGCTGATGTGTTCTTGTGTAACTAACCATAGCATGAACATAGTTGGGGTGGGATTATTGGTGGAGTTTTGGTCTAAATTCAAAGGTAAGAGTCAGTGTGGTGTAGTGCACTGACTGTCAGATGAGGAATCTGGAGATGTCGGTTCAGATCCCTGCTCAACCATGAAAATTCACTGGGGGTGACCATAATAAATTGATGAACATCCTGTGTACCTTGAAAATCCTATTAGGGTCATCAATGATCAGAAGCAACTTGATAGCACATAGGAGCAACCACACAAACTCAAAGTTGGAGGAAGAAATTTGAGAAATGAAACACAGAATTTCAGTTATGGGGGAGGTCTGGATGATTGCTTGGAAATGAGACACTTACCTTAAAAAACTTCTCAACAAAACATTTATTAAAAATGTATCCAGTTTTGGGGTCTTATCCACAGGCTAGCAGTGCAGTGACCTGGTTTTGCTCCTTATTTTAGCTTTCTTTTTAAAATTATTTTCTGGGGTTTTAAGTTGTATTTATGGACATAGTTTAAAATGTGCAGATAGGATTCTGTGTCTAATTTATGCCCTGTTTCTATTGTGGTGGTTGATGGGTGCAAAGGTACGCTGATTACTGAGAAGCATTAGGACACGTGGCCCTTACTTTTTGAATAAAAATTATGGAGGTACTGATTTTAAGCAGATGAGCCATACATATTTAGCCTTTTGCTGTTTCCCACAGAAAGCACATTTCCATGCATATTTGCTCAGAAGCAAATTCTATTGTGGCCAATCACTGGGATTTACACCCAAATCAGTGTACACAGAAAAGCAGTTTACCTTAATGTGCTCTTACCAGATGAGAGGTGGAGAACATTTGACCGAATTTATGGCCTATTTTTCCCACCAGTCCCACCCAGTGTGGTCAATGGTAAGCAGCTTAGGGAGTGGAATCCAAAGGAAATGGAAGTACAACAGTTCCGCACCCCGATACACCCCTGTTCCTAGGCTACAGATGTGTGGATATCATATATTCATATATACACATGTGCGGAGCTGCTGAGCATGCATACCTACCAATCATTTTTTAAGTCCATGGTGGCAATGTTGATCCCTGGCTTTGGATGATTTAGGAGCCTGGGTTTTGGTTCCTTTCTTGTCTCCATCCAATGGATTGTTGTTACAGAACAAATACATTGAAGCAGTTATTGCATTGAACTAGGGTTCTAGAGAGCTCGGTTTCTATGAAACTCATTGGGTGACCTTGGAATAGTCACTATTTCTCAGCCAAAAGTTCTACATTGGGCTCTGCTATGGATAAAATGAGAACATCTTGTGTACTATACTGTGCACACTCGCTGCAAGAAAGGTGTGATGCAAAATTTCTAGAAAATGTATAACTAGGAACATTGTTTTACGGTCACTTATTAATCTTTTAATCAAAAATGCCTAAGTTGTAAAATCAACTTTCATAAATAAATAAATAAATACATACATACATACATACATACATACATACATAAATACATGAATACATAAATAAATACATAAATAAATACATAAATAAGCAAGCAAGCAAGCAAGCACAAAAACAAACTCCTAGAATTACACAGCCAGCCACCTCATCTCCGTTTCAGATTATAATAACAAAAATTAAAATAAAATATATTATTTGCCATAGACCTTTTTGTATGTCTACTTGGAAGTAAAACCTACTGTATGCAGTATGATGGGTCTTACTTCGAAGTAGGAATGCACAGGATTGTACTGCAGCTGTTTTAATAGAATAGGCCTTGCAGAATAAGAATCAGCAACAGGAAGGCTTACCACACCAAGATATTAGGTGTTTATCTGAGGATATATTCCATGTTTTAGCTTCAAATACAATATGTGTTGATGGATATCTTTAGTACTCAGTAGCTGTCTCCCCTAGGCTGTAAGGTCCTATTATGACATCACATCTGTTAACCCAATGGCAACCAGAGGGATTCTGACATCACAGAGAATTATTTTGTTATATTCCTGACTTTCATACATGTTAGTCCCACTGTACATGTACTAGGTACTGTGAAATATCAATGTGCAGCACTGCACTGATACATGGACAGCCCACACTGCTCCAGATAGCAGGTAAGGAAAGGAAGCCGGTAAGGAAAGGAGACTTGGGGCAGCAGAACCCAAGAATCTGTGGCAGAGATTAAGAAGACCTAGGAAAAGAGGGCAGAGATATAAAGTGGTCTCTCTGGAGTAAAGGGAGAAAGTGAGGTGGAGAAGTCTGTAAGGAGAAGGAAATCTGGGGTTCTTATTGGTCAACTAAAGAGGCACCCAAGGGAGATGAAGCCTAGAGACTAAGTCACCAAAAATTTGGCTGCAGATATGGTTCTGGAAAGGTAATAACAGCAGAAGTATCACAACAATTTAGTGGCCACAAATGCAGTCAGCAAAAACATGGGGTTTTTTTTGCTCTCTCTCAAAAAAACTACTTCCTTATTCCATCATTCTTTATTTATTTACCAGAATGCAAGACATTCTAATGTTTGCTTTTACTTCCCCAGTCAAACAAAATAATAAAGAGTAGGTTTCCTATATTTCCATCTGCAAATGGCTCCACAAACACCAACTGATCTATTAAATAAAGTCCCTTCCAATACCAATAGGAACTGGGTGGAAAGACAGTTTGAGGGGCACAATGAAAGCTTAATCTGGAATACTGACCAGAGCCAACTCAAAGAAATTTAGGAGCTGTGAAGGCCAAGTCTTTGGGCTCCTCCAGCTGTCTTTTCAGTCATTTGGGTCTCAGTGGAGACATGACTGGCTGCAGAAATTATATTTTTCACTTCTCCTTGAAGTTGTCACTTGGGCCAGAAAATATATCTTCCCATTCAGTGGCCTTAAGTTTTCTATAACTATGTCTTTCTAGTCCCTTTTCTAGAATGATGGCTTTCCAATAGAATGTGGAAAAGCTGATCTGAAAAAGTGGTGGAACTCCCAAAGGTTGTGACAGGAGGAACAGTGTGTCACACCTTAAATGTGCAACTAGAAGTCCATTTAAGCAGCGCTGGGCTCCGTCCATGTTGTCCTCTACCTCAGGACTCAGAAGAGAAAGACAAAGCCCTTCAATGGGTTTGTCATTCATTTCCCTTCCTTGTCCTATCATAAATTACAGGAGGCACTGCATAAATAGACTGAGTTACTTAATGGGCAAAGGACTGCTTCTCTCGCCACATGCAGAATCTGCTTTGGAAGTTCCCTCAAATTTTGAAGGTGTCCAGAGAGGCTACAGCAGAGAGATAAACTTTTAAAAATTCCTTTCCTTTTCATCCTTTCTCACTACTATATTACAGTACTGTTCTTTTTCATGAAGACTTAGGTATCTGACTGTGGTGCCAGAGGCTGAGAGTTCAGTTCCCCACCGTGTATCCCAGAACAGCCAGCCTGTGTGGCCTTGGGCAACTTGCACAGCCCCAGGACACCCACAGAAGAAGTGAATGGGAAACCAGAAAATCCTGGAAAGGGCCACCATAAGCCAGAATTGACTTGACAGCACACTTCTTCTTCTTCTTCTTCTTCTTCTTCTTCTTCTTCTTATCATCATCATCATCATCATCATCATCATCACCATCACCACCACCACCACCACCACCACCACTACTACTACGTTAATTCATTCCAGCGAAATCGCTGTAGAATGAAAACATCGTAAAGCGAAATTAAAAAGCCCATAGAAACACATTAAAACCCGATTAATGTGTTCCTGTGGGCTTGAAACTCACCGTCCGGCGAAGATCCTCCATAGCACGGCCATTTTTGCTGCCCGTGCAGCGAGGAATCCATCCCAGAAAAGAGCGGGGAGCCATTTTTTTACCCAGCAGCCATTGTGAAACCGCTGATCAGCTGGCCGAAAATTGTTGTTTTGCGAGAATCGGTTCCCGAAGCAGGGAACCGATCCTTGCAAAGCGAAATTCCCCCATAGGAAACATCGTTTTGCGATCGCTTTTGCGATCGCAAAAACTTTGTCATAATGCAATTTCGTTGTTAAAAGGGGCGCTCGTCTTGCGAGGCACCAATGTATTATTATTATTATTATTATTATTATTATTATTATTATTATTATTATCATCATCATCATCATCATCATCATCATCATCATCATCATCATCATCATCATCATCATCATTATTATTATTATTATTAAACTCCAAGCACTGTCAAAATTATAAGAACAGTGACTGGTTTCATATAACAGATACAAGTTTTAACCAAAAACCTTAAGATCTGTTAAATACCGGTGCAGAGTATATGCTGTTCCTAATGTTGCCATTTTTTGAAGTTCTGATGGTGTGATTCCTGAGATCTGTAACTGCTTATAGTACTGTGTGAATATTGCTGATATTGTTCCCAAAGCCCCAATGACTACAGGGACCGCTGAAGTGTGTTTCTTCCAGAGGTGAGGTGTTTCAATTGCCAGGTCTCTGTTAATCTTTGTTAATCTTCCCAGTTCTTTATTTTCAACTCTGGCATGCCCTAGAATTGCACTGTCAATGATCAGGACATTTCTTTGTTCTATCACTACCATAAATTGTCTCTTATGTTCAAGGTGTCTATTGGTTTGGACTCGGAAATGCCACAAGATCTTGACTTCCTCATTTTCTGACACTTTCTTTTTCTGATGTTCCCACAGGTTTTTGGAGGCTGGAAGCAAGTTATATTTTTTTTGCATAATGACCAGTGCACTAATTTTGCCACTGTATCATGTCTAACGTTCTAATCTGTTTGTGCAGTCTTTGGACATTCACAGATGAGGTGTGACACAGTCTCATTTTTTTCTTAGCAGAGTCTACATTTGCTGTTAGCGCTGATTCCTTGGATCTTAGCTTACATCATGTTGGTTTGGAGTGCTTGTTCTTATACAACAAAAATCAAGACTTCAGTTTCTTTCTTAATGGTTCCCAGTTTTAGCCATGCCTATGTTGAATTATTATCATGCTTTCCATAAATATTTATCAGTGTTGTCCATGTAGTGTTTTATTTTTCCAGTGGTTTAATTTCTTTTCAGGTTGTTGTTTCTTATATTGAACCTTTGTTTCTGTTGTTTTCAAAATATTCTCAATTTTCACTGCCTTAAGTAATTTTTCTCTGCTTGTACTGATATAATCATTTAGGCTCCATTTTTCCTCCTCTACTATGTGCTGTGTTTGCAGTAATCCATGAATTTTGATTTTTCATGGTAAATATAATCTGTCCACATCACGTTTTTGATGTAGTGTGTGATACATGTTCATTAGCTTCGTGTTTTTTGATCAAATTCTTCTAATTCATTTTGAGTCCAATCTATTATTCCATCTGGGTATCTGATTACTGGAATGATCGGTGTGTTTATGACTTCGATTGTGTTTCATCCATTTAATGGTGATTTTAAGATTTTCCGCAATCTTTTGATATAGAGTGGTGCCTCGCTTTACGATTGCCCTGTATTACGATGAATTTGCTTAACGATGATCTTTTTGTGATCGCAATTGCGATCACAAAAAGATCATCGTTAAGCAAATTCATCGTAATACAGGGCAATCGTAAAGCGAGGCACCACTCTATATCAAAAGATTGCGGAAAATCTTAAAATCACCATTAAATGGATGAAACACAATCAAAGTCATAAACACACTGATCATTCCAGTAATCAGATACCCAGATGGAATAATAGATTGGACTCAAAATGAATTAGAAGAATTTGATCAAAAAACACGAAGCTAATGAACATGTATCACACACTACATTAAAAACGTGATGTGGACAGATTATATTTACCATGAAAAATCAAAATTCATGGATTACTGCAAACACAGCACATAGTAGAGGAGGAAAAATGGAGCCTAAATGATTATATCAGTACAAGCAGAGAAAAATTACTTAAGGCAGTAATGGATTATCGTCGTAAAGCGAGGCACCACTGTATTCCCATTCTGTCAGTTCTTTAACTTTTGTGTGTGTGATGTTTTCTGCTTCTAGTATTCCAAGGTATTTATAAATTTCATCACTTGATGGTGATTTGATAATATTGCCATTTTTAAACTCTATTCTGTCTAGTTTTTGAATCTTGCCACGGTGTATAGACAGGGCTGCACATTTGTCAATTCCAAATTTCACTTGGATCTCTTCACTAGATATTTGCATTGCATTGAACAGTGATTCTATCTTTGTGGAAATGTTTGCATATAATTTTAGGTCATCCATGTATAACAGATGACTGATTTTTCCTGCTTGTTCTGAACTATGGTAGCCCAGTCCAATTTTATTTAAAATTATTGACATGGGGATTACTGAGATGTTAAACAGCAGTGATGACAAAGAATTCCCCTGAAATATTCCTCTTTTGATGCTTACTTTGCCAATTTCCTCACCATAGGCCATTAAGACATTTTCCAATTGTCTATGTTTTTTTGAGGACCTCTGAATATTTTAACTAATCCCCCCAAAATTTAGGCTGGTGTTAAAATAGGTGTGTGGCAATGAGTCAAATGCCTTTTTGTAATCTATCCAGGGCATGTTAAGATTTTTTAAAAATCTTTTTGCCTTCTTTAGTATCATTTTATCAATAAGCAGCCAATCTTTTGTGCCTCTTGACTTTTTAAAGTTCCCTTTCTGCTCCGTTGGGTATCATGAGTGTTCAATTAAATAATTATATATTGATCTTGCAAGTACTACTGTGAGGAATTTCAACATTGTTGGAAGGCACATAACTGGTCAGTAATTACTGGGTTCATTGCCCTTTTGATGATCCTTTATTATCAGAAATGTGCAGCCTGTTATCTTCAGTTGTAGAATTTTTTTGGAGTAACAAATATTCATTCATTGTCAAGTAAATCACAAAGGTAAATCATGTATGAACTGTATCAGGTATTACCAAGGATTTGATTATGTGTGGGGCTGCAAGTACTTTTATTTGTAGAATTTTGAAGTAAGCAATTAAATTCCACTGCTATACATTAATGGAAACTTATTAAATGCTTTAACCAAATCCATGCAGCCGATCTAGACCAGGTGCACTCCAGTCTTTCACAGCCTTAGGTAAAGGTAAAGGTTCCCCTTGACATTTTAGTCAGTCGTGTTCGACTCTAGGGGACGGTGCTCAT